AAAAGTAAAAAATTCAATGTAGAGCAGGTGTGTAAGAAGGACATAATTCAGTCCCTGCTATGTTAAACTACCAAATATTTTCCTATGCAAGTGTTTGTTGTTAGGGGTTAATCTGAGATATAATTTTTTAAGCCCATAATTSTTGTAACATTTGCTCATTGGTGTGCTTCTTCATTTGTATAATTATTTCTTCTAAAACCACAATTCGGTCATTTTCTGTGTGGTTCACATGCTAAGCATAGTTTTATGTGGAAGCAACATTTCAGTGACTCTGTCAGAMTGAAACCCAGAGCTGTGATGTGATTTCTGCCCACAGGTAAAACCCCTGATCTGGATCGAGTCTGTGATTGAGAAACATTCCCACAGCCGCATCGAGTACATGATCAAGGTCAGACATCCTTAAATAATTRCAGCTCATTTTAATCCTCTTTCCTTTATTTTCCAAGCTTGATGAGCAGCACACACATTTTTGTACAAGTATTCTCTATTTCTGTGGGGTTTAGATCCCTTGGAAGGCTTCATTTGTAARTTATGACCTCAGTTTCAGTTCTGCTGCTCAGGATGCAGGTTGGGGAGGAGGGAGCTGTGTCTCTCTGAGCTCWCCAGCATTGTGGAAATACTTAGACCTTCCTTTCCTGCTTTATTTTTTTTTCTTTTTTAGGCAAAGAGTCAATTTAAGCGTAGATCAACTGCCAACAATGTGGAGATTCACATCCCAGTTCCAAATGATGCGGACTCGCCAAAGTTTAAAACCACTGTTGGAAGTGTCAAATGGGTTCCAGAGAACAGTGAAATTGTTTGGTCCATTAAATCTTTCCCAGTAAGTGCTGTTTCTTATTCTGACCATCCAATAGCACAATAATTACTTAACATTAATATTTCATTGACATTTAGACTCTGCCTAAAGCAAATTTTTATCAGTATCGGACAAGAAATGGTTGATTGTTCCTCTTTTTCCATGGATGAAAGATTGGAATTTGCTAATAAATGTTGTTTATATTTGCTCCACTTGGCTGTTTTTTCAGAACTAGGTTAGAGAGCAGATTTTTGAGTGATTTCTCTGCATGGTGTAATCCTTGGCCTGGCTTGAGCAGCAGCTGTTGGAGTTTTGTCAGGCTCTGCTTCTTGGGTGGTTCCATGAGCATGAGCTCAGTCCACTGCTAATGGTGTGATAGTGCAGCTGTGTGTCACTGTTTCATCTGAATTCTTGAGTGTGAGGCTGGAAGAAAATGAATTCTGCCTCAGGCTGGATCTGCATCTCTTTTAAAAAATAAATTTTTTAACTGAAAACACATGTCACTTTTGAAACCCTGGAGAAGAGCTGGAATAAATAGTGGAGTTCAGCAATTTGACATTAAGAAAACTAATTGTATCATTGCAAGATTTTTATTACTTTTTTTGTTGTGTTTGTGTTATTTTGCAAGAATAAAAACCAAAATTGTCCCTTTTGGGTAGGGTGGAAAAGAATACCTGATGAGAGCTCATTTTGGACTTCCAAGTGTCGAAGCTGAAGACAAGGAAGGAAAACCTCCCATTAGTGTAAAGTTTGAGATTCCCTATTTCACCACTTCAGGAATCCAGGTGAGTGACTGAAAACAGAAATCCTGATAAATTGAAAACAGAAATCCTGATAAATTGAAAACAGAAATCCTCATAAATTAAGAATAGAAATCCCGATAAATTGAAAACAGAAATCCTGATGAATTCACACGCTGAACTCTGACACATGAGGTGTCTCTTGTTCATAATTCCTGTTCAGTTTTACCCATAAAACAGATTTTTACCCGTGAAAGGGTAAAATTTTAGGTTTTTCTTTTTTGCTAAATGCTGTTTGGCAGACATGGGAGACTTTCCATCTCACAGATTTTTCTTTCCAGGTCCGTTACCTAAAGATCATTGAGAAGAGTGGTTACCAGGCTTTGCCCTGGGTGCGGTACATCACCCAGAACGGAGGTGAGAGGAAGGGAATGTTTTATTTTTCACAACACACCTTCAAATTGAAACTCCTGTTTTGAGTATTTTCTGAT